CAAATTTCGCATGTTATGCACCAAACCGTTTCTGTCTACCACAGAATCAGTTGGTGACGGACCCATTTTTGTTGTACTGGAGGGATGGTACTCCGTTGAAGTCATGTGTCTTAGAGCGCAATACCAATATTCTCTATCTCTGGAAATCAGATGTTCACATCCTGGTTGTTCTCCAATATAATGTGCACCAATGTGCTTGAAAGCAGCAGTTTGCTCCAAACTTAAAGCGTACTTTATTCCTTGATACATCGTTTCTAGATCTTCATTATTGGGATCTGTGAAGTAATTGATATTAATAGAAGGGAAGTCTAAAATGCTATTCGTCCTTAAAGTAACTGAACCTTCTGATTTCGGTTTCATTAAAGATATAATTATGCTGATATCTGTCATCGTGTTGTACTTTTCATAGACTTTTCTGAACTTTTCCTGAAAGTTGTATGCAGCTTTTAAATCTCCAGGTACACTAAATGGCGGGGCAAATGTAATCATTTCTATTTCAGCTTTGGGATTTTTCTCATTTTGGAAATTTAAAAAAGCAAGTTGTTCCAATCCGGCGCCGTTAGTTAACGGCGTCATTCCATGCCTGTATCTCTCCAAGTTGTCCTGAAGAGTGTGATTAGGAGCTGAAACATTTGTTCTAAAATACATATTGACGAAAAGGGGATGATCTTGTAAATGTTTTCCAACTGCTGGTAAATTATTTTGAACTGGGATTCCTAATTTTATCAAGTCATTTGCAGGACCTATTCCCGAAAGCAGCAAAAGCTGCGGTGTATTAATTGAACCGGCAGATAATATTACCTCCTTACTAGCTTTAGCTTTATATAAAACTCCGTCTTTAACGAAAGTTACACCTTTAACTTTGTTTCCGTTCATCAACAGTTTATTAACAGCTGCATTAAGTATTAGTTTTAAATTTTTTCTTGTATTTCTTATAGGATTTAGAAAAGCATGTGCACTGTTTTGGTGCAGATTATCTTTTATGTTAAACTGTATCCTTGATACACCTAATTGTTGTTTTCCATTGTAATCGATCTCACTTAGACCTTTTTCTAAGTTAGCATTTAAAAATGCTTCAGCTATTGCTGATGGTGGAGATGTTTGGTTAACGTATAGTACACCAGATGTTCCGTGATAAGGCTTATCATAATTTTTCAATGCAACAAACTCAGATTTTTTGAAATATGGTAAACATTCCTCATACGACCATCCTGGGTTGCCTAGGTTTACCCATTCAGCATAATCCTCAGGAGTTCCCCTCGCGTAAACTCCTCCATTTAACGTACTAGTTCCGCCTATGACTTTTCCTCGTGGATATACACATTGATTGTTTTCCATTCCTGAAAGATAAATATAAATAATAATAAAGAGAAACAAGAACAATGTTACAAAATAATAGGAGCGAACTTAAGTAACACACTTGGTAACAAATCCCTTTGGTTTTGGTTTTGCTACAAAGCCTTATTTCCTGGGTCCACCCTGATACTAATGGCGTTTTCCATTGGGATATTCAGTACGTCTTGAGTATACTCTCACTTTCTTTTTTTCCATATCGACACAAATATAATCAGTGCGTACTGCCAGTGCCAATGGAAAACACCATAATATTGCTACTTTTTTGAAAAAGGCTATTTTATATGGTTCTTAAAAAGTAACTGTTACCACCCGATATCATTTAATAGAACTGTAAATAACCAAAGTCAAACTGGCACAAACTATAACCAGTGAATCAGTTACTGCCACCCACCAGTACCTTAATAAAGTAACTGCGTACATAGATAGGCAAAAGGATCCAAGAATATAGTTACAGAAACAATTGAGTAGTTACTGTAACGTTACTGTATAGTGGTAAAAACTATATAGTACAAGTGAATCAGTTACTGCTACCCACCAATATCTCTAATTAGCCTAAATAAAGTAAGTGGATACATAGATAAAAAATTACAAAGAAAGTTATTTTGTGGGCGCGTTGAAATTTTATCATTTTATCATAAGACGACCTTACGCAAGATAAGATACTCACTAAACCACACGAATGTTCCACAGATGGTTAGTGGGTGGTTACTCAACACGTTCTCAAAGCTAGTAACATAAGTGTAGAAGATGTGATTATAAGAGGCTTGGTTGAGAGAGGATGTCCACAGGGAGGGCTGGCTATCACCTCTACTGTGGAACATGGTCCTCGACACCGTCATCAGCCCCCTCAATAATGGCCAGGCACTACACCATGGCATTTGCAGATGATCTAGTCATTCTGCAAATAGAGACTTTTTGAGAACATATGCTGCGAAAGAAAGCAAATAGCTTTCAAAATTAAAGAACAGTAGTGAAAGGACGATTCACTGTCTATCAATCTCAAAAAGACAGGAATGGTCATTTTTACAAGGAAAAGGATGAAAATGGAATTAAAACATCCAGAACTCCTAACACAAAGCTAAACTTTGAAACAGATGTGAAGAACCTAGGTGTCACCTTTGACAAGTTTAACATGAAACTCACATTTACAAAAGAGAGTCAACAGAGCATACATTGCTTATGAACAATGCCGCCGAACCGTGGGCACCTAGGGTTTCTTCCCCAGAGTCGTCGCTTGGACTTATACGGCTATCATAAGACCTATGCTAACATACGGTGCAGTTGGCAGGGTACTGAAAACCCAAACATCAACAGCTACCGGCAAACTAGAACAAATTGAAAGAACAGCTTGTCTCAACAAAACAGGAGCAATGAAAACCACACCAACTAGAGCAATGGAAATCATTCTTAGTCTCACTTGATATTCACATCAAGAAGGTTGCTCTGATGACAATGACACGCCTCCGCATAGTTGGAATAGAACCTGATGTAGGATCTGGTGAGGCAAAATGTCGTTTTTGGCAGGAGGCGCTCGATATTCTCCCACTGCTTCAAGCAAACATGGACTCCATCTCACCGAGATATATATATATATATTTCATGAGGCACATAAAATAATAAGAGAACAAATAGAAGAGCCGGAAGTGGTAAGTATGATTCGTATCTACACCGACGGTTCTAAAACAAAACAAGGCTGAATATGTGGAATATACTCCAGATTCTTAAATCCAATCATAAAATTCTCATAGCAGCAAAAGAAATCACTAGAAATAATATAATAGCAGACAAGCACTTCTCGCCTTTGACATACCACGAATTTATTCAGAGTTAGTACTAGAATGTCACGAAGCTTTGGTCTAAGTATCCATCAACAATGTGGTCAACTTAAAATGGATTAAAGGCCACGCCACATCGAAAGGTAACTAACTGTCTTGCTGATTCACTTAACAAAAAGGCAGCCAACCAAATACCTTTTGGACCTGTCCTGTCTATTAGACTGACAACATCGGTAGTGACAAACCTAATTAACATTCCCTTGTAAAATTCAAGGAAGGATGAGATGAAACAAGAAGCGGCACACTTGCCAAGGAGATTTTATGTTATCCTGACAACACTACAGCGAACAAGTACTTGACTATGACAAGACAGAATCTGCACCTGATCACAGGCATTCGGAAGCATCTTCATATGATGGGGCTGTCAGAATCCGCACTTGAGCATATCCTTAAGATTATCCGACGCTTTCATTTATTAGAAGATTTATGTTCGGCGAGAATTGGCTAACACTGGCCGATATAAGAGAAGCACCTCTTGGCGACGGTGACAACTACATTAAATATGTAAGCTGGCTCACGAGCTAGAAGGTGCCTACCTACTTAGGAGGATGCACAATGGGCCTACCCACCCTTCACATTTAATTGAGCACCCACTTCACGTAAAGACCACATTTCGTCTAATTTTGCTATAGCCTTAGATTTTCTCTTGTAATAAATGGTTTTTGCAGTTTTAGATGTTCAAATGTTAATTTAATGTAATTTTAATATGGCCTTTGATAATATATTACAAAATTCTCCGCTATAACATAACTCGAAAAGTATTTGACAGTTTTTAATGATCTTATTTCCATTTGCTAGGTAAGTTATTATTCTAATAAGCCATATATTTAAAATGTCTCTACAGTAAATATCTTTTTCAAATAACTTTTTTTGAAATACTCAAAAATAAGAAAATATACAGAATTAAAAAATTAAATACGGATTTGGACTTTTGTAAGAAAAGTTAGGCTAATTAAAAAGTTGGTTTAATTTTGTTTTTACTTTTTCTGTTTTTCTTATGAATCACGGTTCAATATGTACCAGTTATTTTAATTCAGTCGCGTATGATTTCAGTACCGTGTTTATCTGAAATAGTGAATTTAAATTGTTTAATGTGGTAAATAATGACAACAATGAACTTGTAAATATTTTACTTATATATGACAAGTGTCTTCAAAGTGCAGATGCTGTATCGTTGTTGTACAGTGAAGGCAAGCCCATCCTTGTCCCAGAACTTTAATTAATTTGGCTCAACTGGCTAGGGATACGGGTGATTTGCGGGAATATCGTGGAGGAAATGTAGGAAGACCGAGTAGACAATGTACGGTGATGTTGAAATGAATGATGACAACTTTGAACACATTATTTAATTTAGATAGGATGATATTGGATACATTTTGGAATAAATTAATGTAAGATTCATATTTTTGATTATTTTTAAAAAAGTTAATTATTTAATGACTTCTATACACAGTTAAAAACGTATTCACTTGAGACGTACCCTAATTCAGACAATTCAATAAAAAATTAGTGGACTTGGGAGGTCTATTTGGATATAAAGGATTTGGTAGAAACAGTGAAACTTTATTAGATAAAAAAAAGTGAATGAACTTCTGTGCTTTCAAGAACCAATATTGTAACTAAAAAAGCCTAAATGTGTAATATATAAAAAGTAATACTATATATTTACGGATGTATACGAAATTGCCCTTTTTTATGTTTAAAAAACAATACGGAATATCTAATTTTGTGTAGGGATCGTCGAAAGTTTTCGTCGACGTTTTCCTTGGTAATCAAAATAAATGAAACCAAGAATATGTATAGACAAACCTTGGCAGCATGTTTTCTGCGAAGACGTCATATAACCCCAATTCATATCGGTTTGCTGTAAATAATTGTTGAATCCAGGCACATCGCTAAATTTGGTTAAGTCACCGCCAGCTTCAAGTATTAAAATTTTCCAATCTTTTATTTCAGACAGTCTATTGGCTAACACAGCTCCTGCAGAACCAGCTCCAACGATTATAAAATCAAAATGCCCATAATCTAAAACAAAATATAAAGACAGGCTAATGAAAACGGGGTAGAACATTGTTAGCCTTGATATATCAATTGGACTACATATAAATTTAAATTATTTTATTGTAATAATTAGACTGCCAGTTAAATATGTCTGAACGTGTTGCAGATTTTTGGAAATTTATTTATTCTAAGATAGGCAAATAAAACCCTATATTGAATATGACTAGATAGAATATGCGTCTGATCAGAGGCTTTTTGACTGGTCATTGCCAAGTATGGAAGCATTTTTTTCTACTTTCCCTTCTTATATCAAATTCGAATATTATCAATATTTAAAAAATGGATCAAATGGGTCTTAAAGTTAAACCAATCTGAATATTATTAAAACAAGCCGAAGTTTAGAGGTTACCAGCTAACTTGTTTGCCATCTAATGTCTAGATAGGTGTTTAACAAACACATATCGAGGTCTCCAAGCCATTCCCATGCGTCTTAAGGCTAAACCAGTCTTTGACCAAGGAAATAATTAAAACCAGCTTGAGTGTATCACCATACAAAATGACTTTTACTCCAAGCCTTTCCCATACAATATGGCTGCGGTTCTGAGCCTACTTCGTTTTTCCTCTACTATTTAAATGATGCCAATGTTATAATGTGGTGATACAATTGGAACATGTTTTGTTTTCTGATGAGTGTACCTGTACACTTCACGGTCATGCTAATCATCAAAATTGCCGCTATTGGTTTAGGGAAAATCCTCACTGGATTAGACAAGAACATACGCAATAAGGTGGGTCGAAGCAGGCCTATTTTTTTTTTTTAACGCGCTACTCTGAAAAAGTTGTCTCATAATGTCTTGAGGTATTCTTAAAAAAACTGGAATTTTTTAACAAATTTTAACCGGGCCCGCGGGCTCTTTTAAAGTCCAATTTTTTTTTTTAATTTTGTGGCACTACTTAAAAAAAGTTTATTTAAGGGCTTTTTAATATTGTAAAAAAACTGGACCAAAATATATCATTTTTAACCAGCCCCACGGGCCCTACTGCAGGCGGACATTAACAGAAATATGTTTTTCTTTAACTTTTGTGCAACTTTTCGCTTGACTTAGTGATTTATAATTAAGAGTGGAATTATATATCGCTAAATCAACCCAGAACTCATCACGCGGAGGTATTTGCATCTAGAGTTCCTCCCATTTGGGGACCCTTCCGCCCTTTTTTTATAGCGATTTATGTTTAATTTCGCTTTTCAAAATATTCTGATTTGTTATCAAATGCTGGTAAAATTTTTCACCTCTCTAATTTTAATCTAATATATCCATCTCTGGATGACTCACAGCAAACCTTAGTAGAAGCTTCAGTTACTAATTTTTCACAGCGTTCCACCGCTTGTGTGTGACATGGAAAATTTTCAAAATTTAGGGCTTCTTTTCCTGTCATAATATTATCTAACGTTTCATTTGTTATATTAAATATTAATGGCGGTTCAATGATCCTAGTTTTCTGTCAATATATCAAGTCTATATAATCGTCAGCATCTAAATTTAAAAATGGGACCCTAAAAACTCTGACCATTTTATTAGTTTGCATCCTACATTTTTTAATTCTTCTTGCAGCTAATTCTCTTATGTATTGACGTGGGTCGCTTAGCATTGCCAAAAGTAGATTCTCGGAGTGGGCAAAATATGCATTGTCGGCAAAGACTTTGTTAGTTGTATGTTTAACGTTATCTGGGAATCCTCTTGAACCATTAATAGCTTTCCACAGGTATCTCGCTCCATCGCAAATATATGGTTTTGTTTTAATTTCGAACCAAACAGGTACGTAGACCTTTAAAATAAATTCGGTTAAAATAACTTGAGTGGGAGATGGATTTTTAGTAGCGATATAAAGGCGTAGCGTTCTGTTGACTCTTGTAAACCACGGGGCATGTGACATCTTTCCTGGATCTCTCTTTGCCAAATTTGGAGTAATAGTTCCATTTTGAATGCCTATGCAAATAGATACTGCTGATCTGTACTTATGTCGTCTGGTTGGAGTTGAGGAAGATATGTATTTATTGGTTTAAACTCTACAATTGGCATGTCTTGACAGTGTTTTAAAAGAGTCCCAATTGGTCCCGAAAAGCTGTAAGGTCCTTTGGTATCTCCATCTAGACCTTGCAACAAGTGCCTCAAAAGTAGCTCATTGGCATGGAGCAGACAAATGCACCATTGATTGCGATTGAATTTGATTTTCAATTAATCGAATGATACCTTCCTTCCATCCAGTATCATAAACGGTTAAATCACTGATATCTGTATGATACTTGTTGAAGCATTGAAGAAGAACATCCTTTATATTTGCTGCGGTAGCAGAGCCCTTTATAGATACATGGGAAAAGTAAATATTACCAGGTTCTTTAATAATTGTAATGTGTTCTTCTTGTTGGGTTATCTTTTTGCTGTTTTAAATATAAATTGTTTGGTCCTTTCTCCCGTCAAAGTATAGTCCTTATATACGAGGGCTAGTCAAAAAATATATTTGAAATTTTCTGCATTATAGCGTAAGGTATGGACCCTGGGCCCGGTTAAAAATATTTTGTTTTTAATATATATTTTTTTGAAATCATTGTGACAATAACGAATAGTTTATTCACTAGCGCCGTCAAATTTAAATATTTATTTTTTTTGCCCTTTTTGAGGGCCGGTGGGCCCGGTTAAAATTAGTCCGATTATCATTTTTTTTAACAATATTTTTTATTTCCCTAACACACAACTTTTCTTTGGTAGCGCTTATGAAAATTTGAAAACAAAATTTTTTGACCCACCTTAATACGCAATACCCTTGTGACGAAGTCACTAAATTTTGTTTTTAATTCTCTCGTGTAAAATCATATTCGTATTCGAATTTTATACAAATTATCAGAAATTATTTGTGAAGGTGTGCGAGGGTCATTTTTTTTGTGCCACTTAGAAGTAAATAGTCCGAAGACCGATGGTGGTCGCCCCACTCCGAACTGGTCGACGTGCAGCGCCATAGTTGAAAAAGCATAAGTATGAGGTCGACAAAATTACGAGAAGTTGCCTTTTTGACCTTCGAATTGACCATTAGTTTTCAGTCACCGAAGCTCTTTTCTATTCGTGATAAGTGATACGAGTTAGTGAACCGTTAGCTCCAGTAATTCCGATAATTAATCAAGGTAGGTCGTTCAATATAATTTATTCTTTTCTCTTATGCGAAATTGCCGTTATCGTCTCTTCCCCTAGTTGAGTATTTAATTTTTTTTATTATTAGTCAAATTATTGCGTTATAGCGTTGTCAAAACTCTCCTGGTTGAGCCATTGGCGTATCACCTGGATAGGTTCTAACCCGGAAAGCTTTGCAAGCCCGCCCAGTAAAACATTCATTTTTTTTTATTAAATTGACGCGATCATTTTCTTTCTTTCAAATTTTTGTTAATTTAATTATCGCGATCTAGTGTTGTAAAACCTCTTGGTTGGGCCACTTGTGGATCACCTGGGCGGCCTCTAATCCTGGAAATTTTACAACCGTCTGCCCCAGATAGCATTTCACTCAGTCTATAATAATTTTGCAAAAGCCGGACGAAAGGCTCGAAAGTCACTTTCGTCGCTTAAATGAGATTTCGTGTTGACTTCGATCGAATGCCCAGAGCCGTGCATTAATTCCGTTCCTTGTAAAATGTTATTTCTCATATGCCCGAGTGTCGAAAAATTTTGATACAGTTTAATTTCACTTGTTAGTTTTTTTTTTTAAGAAAACGCCTGCTTTAGTCCAGCTAATTTGTTTTGAAAATTAGTTTTCCGTAAAGTAAAATTAATTTTCGTATACAGCTTGGAGCATAATTAACTCCTGGATTTTGAAAAGCTTATTTAATTCAACTTATTTTTCCTGTAAATACATTTTTCTTTAGAAAGTATATAAGGTGGAGCATAACCGCTTCCTGAATTTTGTTCCGTTTATTTAATTCAACTTATTTGTTTTGAAAATTAATTTTAATTTATTGAAAAAATTATTTGCTGTATACAGGGTGTAGCATAATTGCCTTCTGGCTTACAAACTGATTGTTTAATTCAATTTATTTTTTTGTAAATTAATTTTCTTTTAGTAACTTCATTTTCCGTATACAGGTTGGAGCATAATTGTTTCCTAAACTTTTAACCGTTTATCTAATTCGATTTATTTGTTTTTGAAAATTAACTTTAATTTTAAAAATTATTTTCTGTATACAGGGTGGAGCTACTTGCTTCCTAAATTTAAACCCGTTTGTTTAATTCAACCTGTTTGATTTTGAAAATTAATTTTAGTTTAGGTAAAAATTATTTTCTGTATACTGGGTGGAGCTTAATTGTTTCTGCTATTTTGAACCGTTTTTTATTTCAATTTATTTTTTTTTTTGAGAATTAATTATACTGTTAGTGTACAATTTTAATTTAGGTAAAAATGTATTTTCTGTATACAGGAGGAGTTATAAATTCCCGTTTGATTGTTTGATCGTTTAATTTCCTTGTATAAATCAACCGATTTTTCTGACCGGTGTTCTCTTGTTAAGAATTTGTTCTCCGTATACCGGGGAAACCAATACCCGACCGAGGTGTTATTTTTTTTTTTTTTTGAAATATATATTTTCTTATTTATCCCTGAGTTTCTTTTATTACCGGCTCTCGACTGTTTTCTTTCAGGGTACCGTAGGGTACAAGGTATAAGGAATATAAGTGCTTTAATCCTAATTTAGCGGCTACCTTTAGCAGTGACCGCCTGAAATTTTATTTTTACTCCACTGAGTTTATCTTGAGTTCACTTTGGTGTGCTACAGGGTCGTAGAGCAAACTGTGTTACCAAAACTGGCGCCCGAGCAACCCCTATTCGTAACTCACCATCATAGCGCCACACAGACTTCCTGATTTTTGGTAAGTGGAATCGAAAGCGTGTTACACCCTGAAAAGGTTAATGTTTGGGCAGGAATTGTTGACGATCATATCAAAGGTCCTTTTTTCATTGATGGCAATTTGAATGGCGATAATTATTTAACACTGTTACAAAAAATGTCGTGTCAACTTTAACTAACTTATATCCCGGTCTTGCAAACCCAGTGAATATGATATGGTTTCAGCAAGATGGAGCACCACCCCATTACCAAATCACCCAAACAACACACCAAATCCCAGAGATATCCACAGAATATCTTTTGTGGATATCCAATATATCCACAGGATATCATAGATATCTCGTGGATCTAATATGGATATCCAAATGTCCGTCTATATCCAGGATATGGAAGATATCCTATGGATATCCAGCAAAATATCTAATGGGTATCTCCCAGACAATTCACAAAATCCCTGAGATATCCACAGAAAATCTTTTGTGGATATCCAATAAATTCACAGGATATTATACATGTCCAGTGAATATAATATGGATATCCAAATGTCCGTCTATATCCAGGATATAGAAGATATTCTATGGATATTCAGCAAAATATCTAATGGTTACCTTCAGTGGAGGTTCATAAGTAACCAATGGATATATCCTGTAGATGTTTAACATACCCAGTGTACATCCATTATTTCATATAGGTATTTAAGATATCGAAAATTATATGCCTATAGGGTGTCGTATTTAATGTTTCATTATTTTTTTTTTTTTTTTGAAAGATAAGTTGAACAATGTACTGCATAATCTAAAAACATTCCATATGAAGAAAATCAGCATTTCAGTAGCATAACATCGAAACGCCCTGTATTATAAATTTGGTATGTACACCGATACAAAGTTTACTATTCTAGTGTTAACAATTTTTGATGCTACACAGCATAGGTATAGCATGTAGAGTAGAAACAGTATCAACATTTTATTTTTACAATTAAATTTTGTATACCATACCTAAAAAACTACCAAAATATCATTGAAGATGTTGTGAAGTAAGTTTTAAATTGAATGCAGCGCACGAGTTATCTAACATATAAGCATATTACAAGTAAATCCTATTTATATTAAGTATAGTTAGGTAAAACAAAGAAAAATATGAGCAGGCTAAATATATTTAAAAAAGTAAACTATAGTATTAACATACTATTATATTAAATAACATATTACATTTAAATTGACGAATGAACATAGTACCCGCAGCCAAGGAAAACATAAACCTAATCACACATACACACACACATTATATATTGCATTGGCGCCGCAATTTCAACTGGAATTTTCTTCCTGAAAAAAAAAGACGCTCTGTTATAGAATTCCTCAAAAAGTGAAACTATGTTTTAAATCAAGCTATATCCAAAACGAAAATGTAGTCTGAAAACAGCCTTTTGTGCAGAGACTTATACAATATATAACACTAACTAATAATTTAAAAGGGCTGGATCTGTGTATATATTATACTTATTTATCTAAACTGTTGGTCCAGCTAAACATAACCTAACCTTACTTGTTACATTATTCATGCATGCTATTGAATACAAGACAGATGTAATAGCCAGTGAAAAAAATATTTCTTTCTAATTAATTTTAACAACCATCAAACAATAAAAACCAAACCGAAACAATAATAATCACACGAAATAAGTAGGTATATGAAGGTAGGTAAAGTAATAGCCATCTTAATTATAACAAAATAGGGTATCGTAAAGACGAAATGAATTTCTAGTTGTGAATTACCTAAAAAGGACACTTAACAATCTTAATAACGTGAATTTAACCATTGTCTTATTTAACTAAAGGCTATCAACCTTTTACACTAATAAATTAAGGTTTTAAAGCTTACTTACCTCCTTTTAATCCAAAATTATCAAATGACACACGACACAAACAAAACTAAAACAAACTATAAAATGGCCGATGGCACCTGTAAGGGTAGAAAATATCCGCGCCTGCGCTCACATTCATTGCCAATATTATTTATCTAGCGGATATCTGTGGGATATTGAATACAACTTAGTAATTTTAAATTTCTATAAATTATACCTAAATACTTTCTTAGTTATCACATGAGGTATAATTTAAGTAATTTAATAATTATTAAATCAATTCACATATTGTCTACATATTATATCCATAAATTACATCTAGTGGATATCCACCATGGTTTGCGTTCGCGCCTGGACTTAGATATATTTAGTGGATATCCATGGGATATTGAATACACCTTAAAAAAAATAATTTTAAATATCTAAATGGTATTATTAGCCACAATGGCGTAATTTTTTAATAATTTGTTACATAATTACTATTATTTATGGATATTTGCATGTCTATAAATTACATTTCATGAATATAAAATAGATATCCACCATAGACTAAACATTCAGTGGATATTGGGATGTCCAGTAGATATCCAAAAGATTTGGTGTGCTGTCTGGGAAATTTCCGGCAGTACCTCAATCGAGTATTTCCAAATCGGTGGATAGGAGGCGAGGATCGATGTAATGGTCAGCACGATCTGACATCATAAGACTTTTTCTTATGGGGATATGTCAAAAGTATTGTATACAAAACTAAACCTCTAGACCTATAGCTGCTTCAAGAAGACAAATAACGCTTGCGATTAGATCAATCACGCCTGAGATGTTGCCAAGAGGTTCGCGGCGAGCATTTTGAACATCTCCTACATTGAGATGTGTTTTTTTTGTTACATTATCAAGAAATAAATATTTCCGAAACAGTTAGGTATAAGACATAGTACATAAAATATGTCTATAATTTTCTAAAGATTCCAAAAATTGTAAAATATACAGGGTGTTGCATTTAAAATAAGAAAGTTGGATTGGCCACTGTTACATGACCCACCCTGTATAAAAAGTTTTTTTGCGCAACTAATAATACCAATCAACGTGCCGAACGTTTTTTCGAACACGCCCCATTTATTTATTACCGAATTTATTCCATTTGGCTGTTTCACGCTGTATATGAGAATAACATAACGTATCATCGAACTACGATAATCAGTTTTCCTATAAAAGCTAAAACTAAATATATCAAAACAAAGAATTACACAACATTTATTAAAAATTCAAAATGAACTTCAAAAATATAATTGGCAAAAATCCCAAGAATTACTTAATATTTTAAAATTTTTCCTAAAAAAACATACAAAAACGATCAAATTAAAGCAAACCAACCAAAAACGTCAAAATTGGATAACAGCAGGCCTTGTCCAGTCAAAGAACATCAACAAAATCCAAATAATGAGGAAAAAAAACATTTATATGTCAACTATCGTAAACAGATAAACGAGCTTATTAAAATTACCGAGCCTAAATACAAAATAATTCAAATAATACAAAATATTTATGGAATCTGGTTAACAAAAAAATAAAACAATTAATGAAATACAAATTCGAACGAAAGAATAAAGATAAAAATGATTTTCTCAAAACATTGAACGGACAAAAGTCGACATTTAAAAATTTTTAGAAATCAAATTGATGAATTAAATACATTTTTTGCAAAAAAACACTTACGTCGAATTTTTGAATCACATGTGGTAAATACATTTTTATTATCAGTTGGCACTTGATACGATTGTATGTTTTTGAATTCTTCTGTTACATATTTGTAAAAATCTTCAACGGTATCTGCTCTCAAGGAATTTATCATGCAAAAAAACACTATTATTTTTCGTATAAAACACATATTTACTACTTAGCCAAAAATAGATCACATTTAGTTTATATACAACTATTTCATTTCAATATGATAATAAGTCAGCAGCGTAGTTTTACTAATTGATTTTGTTTGAGTACAAAAAAATATACAACAAAATTGAAATTTCAGATAATCAACGTTATTTTAAGAAATATACTTACTGTTGCAAGACAAAAACATTGCAAGTCTAACAATCTTTGTCTAAACTAGCAAATGTAAGATGTTTCAAATTGATAAAAAGAAAGTATAACGGCCCTACGTGGTACTCCTGAGGTTGCAGGAACTTCGTATGACCTTCATTCCAGCTTTTGTCACAGCTTACTCAATACCATCTGTATTTGGCAAGTTAAATGGTTTTTAGGTCGATTTGCATTTCGCATGCAAAAAAATAACAGTAGGGATTACTATCTCGAGGCTATTAGGGCCATTGAATCCTTAGGGCCATATTTACTGCAATTTATATTTATCGTTTTTGTATTGGGAGATAGTATGATGAAAAGTATGATTAAAAATATACACAAAGACAATGACACAATATAAATTATAAAATTAAATAAACATAACAGATATGGAATTATAAATTTTTTTTATTAATTTTCTAGCTGGCCCTTAAAAAATCATGTTTGCGTATTTTTATGTATAATAAATTCTTATTATTGCCTTGGATACGACTATCTATTGGCCAACCAACCTAAATAAAATACCTGACTTATTGGACTTTTACATCATTAGAAAAATACACCAAAACTTCATTAAAATAGAAGAAAACTTTGATAAATATAATCTAAAAGAAATTAAACCTACACTGTGTAATAAAAAGACAGACTGAGTAAGTTTTAAAGCTAAATTAAGTAATAGAAATGTTCAAAAGAACAAAACTAGAGTACGAGCTGCAAATTTGTCAATAACATTCCGAGGCCCGAGTCGAATAAGTTCTAAATTTGCGTAAAACAAATCCGGAACCTACTTGACCCATTCCGTCCACCCCCCTGCTTTAAGCATGATATCGCTGCACCTCAGTGGCAAAAAGGCATCAAATTTGCAAATCCAACTTTCGAAAGGGCATGAAAGTTAGAAATATAATCATCATTTATACAGAGTGTGTTATAAGACTTTACTCTGTCGTGTCGTCTGTGCGTGCATTGGGTGTCCCCTCCTGTGAGCGTTCCCCCAATTGCCTCAAGTGGCCACGGGGGGCAGCTCTTTAGCAGGCGGTTGTCGTATGTGTGTACAGTCCTGTGTCTGTTTCTCGTGTTTGTTGTCCGAAGTAAAAATAACCTCTAAAAAACAAAATGATTAACAAAAGTTTAAAATAAACGGGCAAACAATTATTTCCGGCTGGAAATATCATCTAAAAGAAAATATAAATATATACGAGAAAAATACATATTTACACGGTCAGCACTTACTATAACATACAGCAAGCGTCAAGGAACAACACACCTATAAGAAAAACCATAGGCAGTGTACCTATACCCTAGAGCAGTGTTTCTCAAACTTTTTTGTCGACGGAACCTAAAAGTAAAGACCGTAAGAGGCACAGAAGGATTTAAGGAATTAGATCATGATCGGATTGGTCGGAAATGGTTATCATTACATTATGTTGCATAGCATCACATTACCTATAATGATAAAAATAAGAACTAAAAAATATAAAAACTATTACTATTACTAAAAAGACAAATCAAAGATAAGTAACAAAGAATCAATGAGAATCTATATAAAATATGCTTTATTTTTTATGCGAAAATTCCGAACATATAATGGAATCTGAGCTAGTAAGTTGGAAGATTGTGAAGTATTTTATAAAGGGTCCCTACTATTTCATAGATAGAAAGTTAGAAAGAAACCTTTGATATCTACAGAAAGATTCAAAATATCGGGCAAAAATTAATGAATTTAAAGAAATGATTATTTTTCATTTTTTGTTCGATATTTTAAATTGCCTTGTAGATATAAAAGGTATCTACTATCTACTTTTATAGTTTTAGTTATAAAGTTCTTAAGTATATAATAAAAACAAATTGCTGGTTGGCTGAAATATAGTTAGTAGCAATGCAAACAAAAAAAATTCTTGCCTACACATTTAAAAAATAAGAATGGTAAAAATAAAAATAGGGGTGCTACGAAATAATTTTTTTTAAATAGTGGAGTAAAACTTGGAAGTAAAGACGCTTAGTTTCTAAGAAAAAAAAACCGGCGTAGAACCAAACCAGACTTAGTGCAATTCTTTAATAAGGTAATCGGGTATACGAAATCATTTTTGACGACATTTTTTGGTGGTCGAGAACTTTTTTATTTCGAGAAAACTAAAAAAAATCGATTTTTTATAAAACATGTTTTTTAACGTCTCCACCGCTATATCTCGTAAAATAATCGTGCTATCGAGGTATTTTTTTACATATTAAAGTAGACACAATAGCGCTTTGAACAATACCCCACTTAAACCCCAAAAAAAATTGTTAATTTGTTAAAATAACAGCAAACTCAAACTTATTTTCAGTAGCGTACTTTTAAACAATCGAAAAAAAAGTTTATTTCTAAAAATTTAAACATATATGCTACGAACAAATTGAAGCCAATAGTCGAAAAAAGTTTTTAGAATAAAATTTTTTTATGTCGGTTATAGTATCGAGTCAGCGATTTTTCTTAAACGGGCCAAAATCATATTCTTGCTCGTTCGGCTCCGGCCTGCGAGCGCGGACGGTCCCGGTCGGTCGGGACGTTCTGAGGTTCTGATAATAGTCGGACTTATTTCAATTTTAATAGCTCTAAAACAGGTAGGGATATAAAGCAGGTACAAAGGTAAAAAATATAAAAAGAGATCCAAAAGATAGGTATATAAATACATATAAATATCAATCAGTGTTGTAAACTAACCCCCTATACTTACCTAATTAGAGTAGTATTTAAAAAAATTCTAATTGAATAAAACTAATAATGTAAAAATAAAGTAAGGTTTATTGTTGACATATTTATTATTTAGATGCTACATTAATAGCACACTAATTCCATTCGTCATCTTCTGGATCTACGTCGAAATCTTTGCGCTACACGCTAAAGTATACACAAATCAAAAAATTATATACACGCGAAACGTCATATTGCTGTGGTGGGAGGTGTTGGTGTAAATGCGTCTTGATTGTTTTCATTTACGCCGTGACTAGCACAGTAGTATTTTATAAACCTTAGAAGCAAATTTCACATACATGAACAAATAATAATAATGCCGTGACAACAAGAAAAAGAAGCAAGGACTTCTCGTAGGGTGGCGGCTTCGCCGCCACAAAAAAATTTCAATCCGTACCTAGCCACGACCGGCGTAAACACCAACGGCCTGCACACAGCTCACCTACTCTGTCAAGACGTTTCGCGTGTATATAAATTTTTGAATTGCGTACAAGTTAGCGTGTACCTAGACACTGTGAAATCTTTAATACTGTTGTTGCAGGAATGACATTTACACTCGTTACAACATTTTAGGCCTTTTTTAACACAAGTGCATTTTCGATTGTCACAGATGACTTTTACAATCTCCATTTCTTTCAACACTTAGCATTCTCTAAAGTAAATCGATTGTATCCAAAAAAAAGTACTAATATTTAAATGTCTTTGATGAACCGCAACCCAAGTTTACAAATTCTGCTACAACTTTGTTGTGATCTTCAAGAAGGTAAGAAAGATCTTCTGAGTTACCTACTTCGTCAATTTTTGATTTTATTACTGTCCATTTCTTTTTTCAGCTCATCAGTAAAAAAAATTTGTCCTTTATTTTCTTCGTGCCATTTATTTAGTGACTTGTAAAATAATCGAGACATTGCATCGGCTGCCAATATTAGGCTTCCAATAGCGAGATAGCACTGCTCTCTATCGAGCATTAGACGACAAGAATTTTCTGCGTAAATATCTGTTTCGACAAGAATCGAAGTAAGTCCACCATCAGCAAAAATATAACCTATACTTGCAATAAATGCCATTGTTAGGTGCATCCTACCAAGTTGCAAAGTCACTTTGCCAGACAATTCTGGAGGTTTGTTCCTCAGTATTTCGCGCGCCTTGGAATAAATTGCTAAGTCTGCGGTTATTACAATATGATCCTGATTCAGTTTTTCTGCTAACTTACCATTGCGGTAAAAATTGTGTCAAATTCTGTTGGGGGAGCATTCAAAAAGAAAAGGTATGTAATTGATGAAACTGGAATACACAAAAGAATACTCATTCTGGAGTAATTTCAACAATCGCCAAATTAAATTCATCTTTGTCGAGCAATTTGAATTTTCTCGAAATATTGTTGGTAACTTTAATTCAGGAAGTACAGGATGGGGTTTAGGCTAATTATATTTTTCAAGTCGCTGCAGACTTGTGTCCGTTTCTTCTATGCTTAAAGCGAATTTACCATCATTAATCGGGTTCCTAATTGGTTGTATAAACTGTTTTTCTTAAAACACAACCATAGCCATAGCATGTTTTGTTCCTTTTCCATCAATGGTTTTTTCGTTGAGGTTAAAATTATCAATACTTGCCGAATGTAATTTTTTTTTCTCAGGTGAAACCTTCGCCAAACATTTAGGTACATATATATCTTCTTTATCATCGATTTTTTGTTTTACCTCGGCAAATAGCTTTGCATCTATAAGCCATGACACGAACAGAAGTAAAATATTTGGAACGTCATTCTGAAACCTCATTTTATTAATAACATCTGGTGTGGGAAATCCAGTTTTTGGTTGAAATAAAGCCATTGCACTATGTAATATGGCAACAGCTCTTAATAAAATTTGAATTTCGGACATTTCTTTAGGAAGGAAAATATCGTTCTGAACATCAGTATCATTACTGTCAATACTTGCTGAGGAGTTGGACATTGTCGAATTATTTTCGGGAGAGTTTGTGATAACATTGGGAACAGTTTTCTTATTTTTGTGAGAATTTATGTTTATTGGAGATATATAGAGTGGCTGTAATATAATTTATGGTATTTTGCATCGAACGCA